CTAAAATTCCATCAATTTCCATTTAAAATATAGGGACTAAGAAAATATTAGAAAGCTTCAAAAATTGTCAGATAAAAAAATGTCAGTGCTTATATTCATGAAAGTATTTTTATCACAATAAATAAAAGTAAAATAATAAAATATTTTTTAAAAAACCATATTCGATGTATCTATCATACATTTACTATGATATTTCTCAATAAATAAACTTCCAAAATGCTTGACCCGTTAAATCACAAGAACTGTATCGTTTTAAACTTTCCAAAAATGAAGATGATTGTTCTTTTGTTTATATTTGGAATTACCAATCAGAGATTAAAGTAAAATTCAACTCTATGCTTTAAAAAAAAAGTATCAATAGAAACAAAAGCAAAAATAAGTTGAAAGTTAAGAAATACTTATTTATATAATACAAAACTAAATCCAGTTACTTTCCTTAATTTAAATTATATCAGTTACTATTATACGTATTTGAATCACTTACATTCATCATAAATCACAACATTTTTAAGAATACTTGCAATAATAATATTTCCATATATATAATAGTATTATTTCTAAAGAAATTTTTATACTTAACATAAAATTTACATTCTTTATATGAATAAATACACAAAGCCTGACTTTGTAACAATGCCCACTTCTATCGTGTAATCAATAACACTACTTAAAATATTTTTTTTCAGACTAAAATAACATAATATAATATGATTGTCAACCAATGGTCCTGATTCTAATTGCCGTGAATTATCTTAATAAAATAAATTATAATATTAATGTAATATATGAATCGTGCACATTACAGATTTTTATCTTTTTATTTTTATTGGTTATACATATTACCTAGGTAAACATTATTATTAGTGCTTACTTATTGTGATACATTGATTATTAATCACAGATTTCTATCAACCAGAACATTATCTCCAACCATACTACATACTATATTATTATAATATTGCATTGGATTTCGTAAATATATCAAATGACACATTAACAATTTAAGTAGTACTTCATTGAATAGTACTTAGCAAGTGCATTATTCATTACGCTGAATAAAACAGAAAATCAATCAATTTTCGAACTAATATAGTGAATATCCCCATGTGGATATGCAAAAAAATAACTACCTAGTACCCATTGTAAAACATTTTCAACAGTAACAATAAAAAAACAGTAAATTATCATTTAAAAATTTAAAACCATTTGTTTTATATAGATTATAATGTTAAAATGACTATTCTTCAAATCCATTATATATAAAAACCTAACCTCTCGATCAGCATAAAAATCATATTAACCCTTAATGTTCAAACATGATCTTTATTAGTATTACTCAATGTATAAATATACTACGTGCGTCAAGTAAACAGAAAAACAGTAACTGTTAATGCGCTTTTTTTTATAGGTTTACATAGTGTGGTTGTATTTTTATTGTACTGAAAAATATGACGATGGAATTTAACGTAACTTTATAACTCGGATGTGAAAAATCTAGATAGGTAATTAAAATTATGAACCTTAAACAATAAAAACACACACACGCATGCATGTTTTTTATGCACTATACTTAATGCTTATACCGATGATGATATATTATTTATTTTACTATTAGCACTGTATTAAACTATACTCATATTATAAAATTGTAAAAAAACTATATTTGTAAGTAAATATTTCAATATTACAGTGTCACGGGCGACCTTTATGAATAATCCAATTGAATCGGGCTGTAAATACTAAACATAGTTGTGCAGTTATTAATTATCTTTCGGGCAAGGCACAATGTTCAACAACAAAAAACATTTTTGGTTATACTTTTACAAGCATTTATAAACAGCCATTATTTTACTTATGTTTTTGGGAGAAATGGATTAAACTTGTTAGATGAATTCAAAACTTTTTACATGATGTTTTTTGGCTCGAGCCTTTACTGTATTGACGAAAAGTAAAACGTGAACTCTATATATAATTTATTTAAATTACCACCCTAGTGTTGTAAATGTCCATGCAGATCTGCAGAAAAAGTTGAACTGAATAAACAAAAATCACATCATACTTACTACAAGTACTATTAATAAACATGAACTTAATATTATTAACATGATCGATAAATTTAAGACGGATCTTAATAATATTTATGGAAATTCTCAAGACAAATTTTAAAAAATTGATGAAAACTAATGTTTATTTGTTCCAACCAAATGACAAAAAAAATATTCAATATGGAAACTATACTTCAAAAATACAACGCTGGTCACAAATGTAAAGTGTAACTCAGTTAACACTTAACAAGCTATAATAGTTTATTGTTTTTTTTTAATTTGAAATGCTCATGAGAACAAATATAATAAAATATTATCGAATTTTATTAACTTAGCATTGATAAAATTAAATTTGTTCATAGTCAATTGTAAGTATTTCACTAATAATTTAAAATGTATTATCTAGAGCCAAAAAGTATTTTTTAAATAAATATAAACAATGAAAATACATTTATTTTATCAAACGAGAAGTTGTGAAGGATATATTTTATTTATTTAACCGATTTAATTTCACTATTTTCTGGAATTCCCGATAGATAATAATCATTTATAAAAATGATCTCTTTAAATTACCATTATTGTACACTTTCTATTCATATAGAGGCTATTTATACTAAACTTTTGTAACGATTTTACTGTACCAAAAAGTATATTCTGAAGAACACATTATTTTTAAGCCAATAGCTTCTTCACTATACTTCGTTCAGAATCTAAAGTAAACGAAAAATATATACTTAAAAAAACGACAGTGCTCGACAGACAAAGAAATTATCTTGAATGTTTTTTTTCCCCAGGTCCACGCTAATGGAATATCAATTAGATGCGACGCAGACAGGGGATGCTGAGTGGCGATGAATTTGGAAAACACGGGCCAATTTTACAAAAGCATGCACACAATTTAATATATTGTTATTTTGCAGAAAAAACTTTCGACTTTTGCCTCCCATATAATCTACCTCCTGAAGGCAATAATTTGTAAATGGTCGTCACCGGTAAAGAACCATCATGGACGATAGTCTTGGATGTGGTCCAAAGACCTTTTTTGTAGACTATCTGACGATAACGCCATCGTCGGCACCATAGTTGGCGACAACAGGCGGCGGGAAAATATCGATCCAAATAATCGCTTCGTGAACAGATGCGGAAAATTGGACAGCTCCGCCCCTGAACGTGCCTTAAGCGTTGGCCAATAAAATAAAACCGAAAGACAATTTCTGGTCACGTTATGTGGAACTAACACGATAGGTCTTATGTGCAGAATGTATGTGCGTATATGTACGGCATAATATACAGCATGGTGGACAGTCATCGACAGCCACTGTCCTACAACCACCATAAAAGGCGGATTGAATTTTACAAAGCTGTGTCTAGTGTCTACTAAAGGTCACCGTTGTCCTAATAACCAGGGGGGGGGGGGTGAACAAAATATATATGTACCATCTACTTTAGCTTTATACAAACACGACCATGGGTAAGTTACAAACCACCTAACATTTAGATATAGCTGCACACTACAGATATTAAAATGGTGAATATATTATACACTTTATGAAACATATTGTAAACTGTGATGTTATATTATGTTGTATACACTATAAAATATCAAAACTATCGATAATAACACGAATTTAAAGATTATTAGGGCTGAAACGATTGGTTTTTACTGATAAAATATATTTTGAAGCTATGAAAAAATACTTAGTACATTAATGAACTAAATCATGAATTAATTCATCATGAGATAAATTCTTAAATGTCTTAGTTTAATACTAAACTAATCTTAAATTAATATTGTTGTTGATCACATATTAGTACGAACTATAATTTTCCTAAATGTTGAATTTAATTGATGAACCCTTCCAATAACTTGCAGAAAATTATAGGAGAGTGCATTATAGTCTAGTACACAATAATAGCATGATGGAAGATAATTAGATAAATAATTAATGTTTTCAAACAACAAAATGAGACATAAAATAACTAGTTATCATTAAATTGAACATCAAGAACATATTTTATTAACAATAAGTTATGTGAATCCCCATTGTAATTACAATAGGTAGTAGATATACCTAATCTATTAAAACTATTTTGGTAGGTATCAATAATCAATGTTGATCTATAACCACTATTACTTTATTATAAGCATCCGCATAATATACATATTTTATATCACATTAACTATGAGTCCGCATTGTAATGTTTTTCATAAATATTATTTTTTTAAAAACCATACAATAAATCAGGCATTCGCATTTATGATAAATACGAAAATTAGACTATAAAAAATAATTTTAATATTTACTTTTTTAAGAATGTATTACACAATACATCAAGTTTTCAAAAATATTTCATTTAAAAAGAACAATCTCACTTAATTTATGTGCATTGATGTGACAAAAAAATGAAATACATATATATGTGAATATTATGTAGAACATAAAAAACCCATACCGACACCATTTATTAAAAAAACCTATTATAACCCCGTATTTTCGAAATATGTACATATGCCATGTAAGTAACAGATAGGTATTTCTCGATCGTTTTACAGGGGAAAATAACAATAATGAGTTGCATCGTTAACAAACATTAACAGATCCCTTCAACATAAAAAAACTCGTTCATCTACAAAAAAAAATGACGTGCCACGTTATTTAAAGATAATAATAATTTGTAGCTCTTTAATTTACTGAATGTAATTTATAAAATAAATTAACCAGTATTTAAACGGTGGTACTTATCAAAATGTTAATACCTATGCAAACGAAATACCAAAAGCTCTTCATTGATAATTTATTTAATGGATCCCTTTTAAATTACTACACACTTCAGTGACATCTAAAACTAAACTAAAAATGTTTATAAATATTGCTATAAAAATGAATCGATTTAACAGTAGGTATGTGTTTGTATATGTAGTAATATTATATATCTTGATTCATAAATTCTTACCTTTACTAGAACCTATGCCGAAATACTGGGTGATCCAATTTTGTTGTCAATTCCAATCTAAACAAAACAAAAATAAATACATTTATTCTTAATAAAATCCATATTAGTTTGCAGTAGATGATTTATTATTGATAACACATAAATTACCTAGCCTAACTAACTGCTAGTCTTTATATTATTTTATCATGTTAAGTACCTATTCATATAATGCGCAGTGTACACACTTAAATAAATAGTTAAGAAATTAACTCTACTTTGAACAACTTAGTAGTAGTATTGTGATAACATAATTTACACCAGAGTCTAGAATGGCTGAAATAGTTGCATGACTTTTAAATAAAGACAAAAGTGTCAACGATAAGTAATTTCTTTCTCATGATACGCGTTTTAAAAATTCACAATATAAATAAAAAATTATGCATATTGTACAAATCAAATATATAGGCTGTGTTTATAACAACATAAAAAAAACACTGAGTTAAGTATATGGAAATCTGTGATTTAGAACAAGTATAATACGAGAACAAAGCCATATACAGTGGGTTGAATGGAAGAAAAAGTTTGAAAACTTTATGAATATTATTATTATAAATTGCATTAGGTACTAGGTAAGTATAATATCTGTTTATGAAATAAAAAGTGTAAGTATATTATGTGTATTGCGGTTTATACTTTTAAGAACTACATTTTTTTCTAAATGAGTGAAGGCTTTCAAAGATGTATTAATATTTAATATGAATTTTCAAAATACGTATTATATTTCCAAATGTTATGATAGATGCAACAGACAAAATTATATCTCACTCATTAATTTAATTACAAACTGAATGTATAAAAATAAATACCGTAAGGATCGGAGAAAGTTATGTTAAAATTATACTGTATTTGTATAAACATTAAAAAAATAAACATAAAAAGAACGTATATAGGATTTTATAAATTTCAAATTCATTTATAATTTTACGTATTACATTTTGAACCAAAAATTTCACTGAAAAATTCCAACAATATAAATAGGTCACCAGAGACAAGCATAAACAAAACTCTTTCTACCAGCCATAGCCACCTCCTCACCGCTATCTTTAAAAAGACCCCAGAGACTATTTCGCTTGATCGAATTATCGAATTGTTCACGGTTTGCAATTTGCAGTGACTTTTATTTCAAACGTTTTCCAGCGTCTTTTGTCTGTCAACCTATTCTCTATCATTACATAAATTAATGTGCATCATTTTATTTGCTCTGGTAAATATGGAAGAATATGTTGCAGATTGTGTAGATTGCACGATTAACTTATATTTAAATTGGTTATAAACATAAAAGCTCATCTTTCAATACTTTAAGCTCGTCTGCGACCCATCGGTCGATTCAAAATTCAATTATAATTCATATAGTTTTAATTACTGCAAACTAATCGTCTTAGGGATATGTTCGGACACTCGATCGATTTACATTAAGTCCCGATGAAATTAGATTGGAAATATTTGTGAAAAATGACTTTACCCGCACTGTTTGGTCAAAACACCGGAGCAGATGTCATTAAAGGATCGATGGAACGTGACATAAATCTACACTATAAGATGTGCACAGCGGACACGTCAAAATTGCGGCTATACCTACTACCGCCACGGTGGTGTAATAGGACCGTACTGGTCTTAAGAGCGTATTAGAATATTAATTACATAGGCTGAGACAATAATCTAAGGATATTACCACTCGTGTCCACTAACCGTGTATAATGTGTATAATCTATATCGACCGGAAACGAAACTGTGGACGACCTAAGATAACTATAAACCTCAGACCGCGCTTGGAGGATACCTCCGGTCACCAGTGAACCGCACTGTGCGGCACATACAGAACTAACTTGGTCCTTTTACGGCAAAAAAAACTAGTCTTCCGTCTTATAAACGTTAAATTCATACCAAAAATGACTACGTTTCAATATTTGTATTCACCACATTTTTTGGGAAAAAACTTTATCACAATTATTGTTTGAAAAAAATGTTGGTAACAATATTTACAAACATAACAATCGTAAGTGAACATCCAAATACTAATATTTTCTAAACATAAAAATGTACAAAAAAAGTGTGTATGTAATAGTGAATCATCAAACATGCTCACCCCTATTTTATCCTTTGATAATACATATTTTATTTGAATTATGATTTTTGGTATTCTCAGGAACCTACACTTGAAGACTATATTTTCAAATGCTTAGATTTTTATGTCATTTAACGGGTATCTTGTGGAGATACAAACTTATTTTTTTCAAATAATGGTTTCGAGGTTTTTATTGTGTATATGTACTAGTAAAAATAATACTAAATAATGGTTTTACATAAATATAGAATATATCATGCACAATAATTTTAGTCTAGTAGTCTGTTATTAGTTTTTTACACAGACAATTTTTATAAATCATAACATTTTAATAAATTAATGTTTTTATTAATTACTATCATTTTCAGATCATAACATCACTCAATATCTCAAAATATTATCCTTACAACTTCGCTCTTTTGAATTTATACTTTATATTATTAGATGCTTAAAGTTTTTAAAACGTCCATCTGTGTATAATTAACAATAAAAAAAAATATGGTACTCATTTGAAAAACAAGTTGTATTTGTTTTGGATACTCCTTAAATAGTATAAAAAAAAAAATTATTTGGAAATATAGACTTGAGAGAGTATCTAGGTAGAAGTTTCAAAAAATTGAATAGATATATTATTAAAGAATAAAAAGAGGGTGAGCATGTTTGATGAATCGCCCAAAATAATTAATTATCATAAACACCAGTAATTTATACAATATGTATTTGCATTTTAATACTATAAAGTCCAAAATTGTCAATTTTAAAGTTAAAGGTAGTACAAATATATTTAAAAACAAATCATTAAATATTTGCAATTTGCATACAACATACTAGTAATAGTTATGCTAACTAATGGCATGATAAAAAAAATAATGTTTTGTAAAATAATCACGCACTAGCATAATAAAAATTCATTTTATTAATACTGTTCACTGGCTTTTGTCGACTATAGCGTCTTATATTATTTGTATGCCTATAAAATATACAGCAATGACTGTCAAATTAAAGACAGTGTACCACACTACCACTACAATAATAATTACAAATCATCAAATAACAGAAATTAGTACTATAAATAATATCCCAAATTTCACATATGTAAAAAATAACATCGTTTTGTATGTACTATAATAATTCATCTATCATATCTGTTCAGTACATATTATCATACATTTGTTAAAACTATTCCAAAATCAAATGTTTACAACTATATACTACTCTATATGTTCTAGAATATTTTGGATGGAAAAGTCTTTAAATAAAAATGTGAATTAAAAATAATTTGTATTTAGTGAAAACAGACAATATATCTTTGACAAGGATTCATTTCCATAACACTATTTTTACCCGCAGTACTCAATACGTCTCCACGAGATTTTATTACAGACGTTTGCAGAATGTATTACTTAAATACGCAAGTTGTGAATGGTCAATGAGATTAAATCCGATCAAGAGAAAATATTCCTCTGCACGCTCCCCCCCCCCCTCATATAGATCATGACACTGACAGCACTCCACGTCTTCACCGGTTTTGGTAATGTATCAGATAAGTTCACAAAACGTACGTAGGTTTGATAGTAAAAGAGTGCCCACGCCCAGATTCTTCACCAGACGATAAAACATAACGTCCGTGTACGTTAAAATTTGATGATCCTGTGCAGTCAGATAAGACTTGTCGGAAATCGTAAGAACACAGTGGAGCACTCAGTCTGTCATGTTGATGTGTTTCCGACACGGCCCTGAGGGTAATGACGTCCTCGGACAACCACCCTTCGCACACGCGATCATATACCTGGTCCGATAAATGCTCACAACCGGGGTAGAAGTCATTTATGCCACTCTCCGGTGTTTGGCATTTCTCTCCCTTTTGCTGGAGCAAAAGTTCTAGAACTTTCGGTGTGTCGCGCGGTGTTGCGGGCATTAATTGACACGGACAGTGTGAATAATAAATAATAATTATGTTTTCATTTAAAAAAATATTCACTGTGTTATATTTTGCTGTTCGCGTTTTGTTATTGTTTTATTTTTTTAATTAATTTTGGGAATTCATCTGGAGTTTAAATGAAACGAGTTTTAACATACTTTATTATTCTCTCTGAACTTGCAAACTAAATAAATAATATATAATACGCCATATAAAGTTCTTAACTCGATACTTGGACATAATATTTTCCTTTGAATGCATTTTAAAAACATCATGGAAATAAAGTTAATTTACCATAAAGGAAAGGAGAAAAACAACCTTTTCTGAATAGGGTGTGTTATTTCTGCGAATGTGTGCTTACATAATAATACCGGATTAAGTAAAGTTGACCTTGTGATAATATACAATATCCAATAATTTTATACCGGTTAATTTTAAAAGCCTTCTGTTTAATAAATAATTTATTATTACCTACACGATTATACGACTAAAAAACATTTAACGAATCGACAAGATCAGTTTCGTGCATAATTTTACAGATATTTTGCTAAACAGCACACCGACAGAGACCATTAAATCAGTCATGTCTAATATAGAAGCAATACCGAATTTATTCGCGATTATTTTTATCATAATATCGCGTTGACAGGACCGTTGCCCCCGTTAGGTCGTAATTATAGAACTAAATTATATCGTATTTTATAATAATAAATAATAATATTTCTATAATGACAATCAAAAAACGGACCCTTTTGACAAGTTATCGTTGGACATTGGTATTTTCAATTGTTTTGTGGATAAAACCAAACCTTTAACACATGAAAATACATGAAATCAAAATATCAAATTATGTTTTGATAAATGCTTTATTAAACTTAAGTTGAAATTTTTACAATATGTTAGGTATATGATATTCATATTACTAGTGTAATATATAATAATATTTAATATGCATTATAAAAGACGTTTGCTTCGTTTTATTCGGAAATCGGAACCGTACAATATTACTCATAGTTATATTATATGAACGAG